AGACTCGTGGAGAATTGGGATTATTAAGGGTAACATAGATAAACGGATATTCCGTGTCCGGCGGTTCTATTCATTTCCCGAAAGGACATTAAAGAATGCTTAGAGAAAAGAAAGTTTATGTTTTTAATCAGGGCTTGAATGAAACTGTTAACATATTCAATCGGTTCTGATGTACGATAGTGAAGCCGTTTACCGCGTTTACTATGTTTCCAGGCATAATTAACTTTATATTTATCAAATAACACGTGAAACATTTGGTGACTTCATTTTGTTTATTTTTTAATTTGTTAATTACTTTACTTTGTTTATTCCTGAATTTTTCTATTCTTTCATTTCGTTCAATTCTGAATTTTTTAATTCTTCTATTTTGTCTATTTTTGAATGAAAAAATTTCACATGGCTTATTCGATAAATTTAAATTCGATAAAATTACGGAGATCTACGAAAAACATTTTAAACATTTTCGTTCCAGATTCAAATGAAAAAGTCAAAACTCGTCTGTGTGTTTTTTTTGTAATTCCAAGTAGTAGCAAAATTGAAAAAAAACCGTTGTTTCAGTTCTTGCGCATTAAACCAGTCCCTTCGACATTTAAAACAAATTCAAGTCACTTGGTCCAGTTTCGAAAAAAGTGATTGCATTTTATAAAAAAAATGTTCGAATACATTTTGCCCGGACTAATAGTCGGCGAAGAGCATTTGCTTATTCAACAGCAAGGCATGATGCAGCTTGTTATATAATAAACGTGTGAAACCTTTCTGCGACGATAACGAAGCGAAAAACTTTTTGCTTGCGTCGAACAAGCTTTAACTGAACATATCCGATAGCGCGCGGACTGTGGAGCACGTAGAAAGCTGTCACGTTTATGTTTAAAGACACAACTTTTTTACAATGGGATTTAGATGCTGCTAAAGGAAACGCTTGAAGCTGTGTCAGGACCGGTAACGTTTTATCAACGAAATTTAATATTTTTATCCTTTGCACGGCGATGAGCGTAAATCGAGATTAATTTCCACAATCTTCCGCGATCAAAGGAACCTGCGATGAGAAGGATCTCGAGTTGAAAGGATTTTACGCGGCCATTAAAATATCTTATTTCTTAGCCGCGCTGACAGCTTTCAGAATGGAACAGTTTGCTTGACATAATTAATGCAATGTAAGGAGAATTTTACACGTTCGAGGCACTGGTAAAATATCGATTCTTGTCTGTTTTAAAAGTTGTTCATTTCTGCAATATTGGATTACCTCGACTCGTGTCAACGACCTATACCGAACTTGATTCTTTTCTGTACTTTCACGATACCGAAACAAAAGTATGGCATTCTATTATTTATCTTGACAGGATAAAGACAAAAATTTGATTTCGTTGCGATGACATTCTACGTAGAAAATGATGAAAAATGTCGCCGTACGCTTTAGCGCTATTACGTACCGTTCAACAGTTATATCAAACTGCACTTACCTTTTGGACACCTTGTACATCGGAACTTCGTCTTCACTAGTTGCACTTTGAAATTCAATCTTTCGAGGATACACAGTGAAACCTAATCTTTTAAGGGTGCACACTGAAACCCGATCGCACAGCCGCATAATTAATCTTCCAGTGGAAATGAAAGATGATGAATTAAACGGGGTTCCGGCAGAAACTGTATCATCCATTTGATGCTGCCACGCACTGCAAATTCTATTCTCACGGCCATCGTTCGGCTGCTCATGTTTTAAATCCCGGCATTAATTAAAAACAGGAAATACTCGTCGCAACAATTCGTGTAGTCGTTGGACTCTACCGACACCATTCGTTCTCATCGCATCGCTGTATCATTTTTTAAACGTATCTCGACGCTGTTGCCTTTGACGCCGCAATTGCTAAAAAACCGCGGAATTTCGCTGAACTGCGGAAACTAACTGCCAAAAGCGTTGCGGCCTGCACCCTTCAGTCGAATCTTTCGAAAGGTTAATACGGAAGAAATGAATCTATAAACTTTGGAAAACTATGTTCTATCATTTGTATTCGAAGCAATTACTTTCGGCACGAATTCTCATACAAATATATTCTTATACGAAGAAAATCTTATTTAAATGAATTCTTATTCGAATACAGTTCTATTCGTAAAGATCTTTATGTAGACACATTTTTATTCGATCGAATATTTATTCGGTAATGTCGAATACAATTTTATTCGTAAAAATCTTTATGTAGACACATTTTTATTCGATCGAATATTTATTCGGTAATGTCGAATACAATTTTATTCGTAAAAATCTTTATGTAGACACATTTTTATTCGATCGAATATTTATTCGGTAATATCGAATACAATATTACCCAAATCTGCTCTATGCGAGTGCAATTAAATCGCTGCTGACTTCGAAGTTGTTCGGGGAATCAGCTGTCGCATCGCATTACGCTTTATCCTTTTAGAAGGTTATTCTGAGTTATTCAGAATTCTGTCTGTATATTGTTAAGATACAGTTATATTGTTAACAGTTATATTGTTAAGATAAGTCTGTATATTGTAAATCGATGTGAAGACGAAAGAAGTGTGAAACAATGCATATGAAGACGATTATTTGATTCAAACGATGACCGAGTGAGCTACTAGAGTAAGCCACTATAGTGCGCGTCGTTCAGAGAGATGACATCCGCGCAAGCCACTATAGTGGCGCGTCGTCCAGAGAGATGACATCCGCGAAAGCCACTATAGTGGCGCGTCGTTCTGAAAGATGACATCCGCGGAAGCCACTATAGTCGTGCGTCGTTCAGAGAGATGACATCCGCGGAAGCCACTATAGTGGCGCGTCGTGCCTAAAAGGTTAAGAGATTTCTAGAATCGCTAGCCGGACCTGTAATTTTGTTTTGTACCCTGTGGTGGAAGTTCTGAGAGTTCACTGCTCGTTCGCGAGCCCTTAAAACTACGCTAACAATTTACCCGCATTGATTATATCGTTGCATATTTTTCTGTTTCAGGTGAGTAACATATCGGCAGATGCTTTCCACGAAACTGTGTATCGCCTTGGATGTAAGTAGCAACCATTAATAAGCTACGATTTGAAAATGCGCGATGCATTGTGGTCTGCATTGTGTTCCTAACGCGAGAAAGTTATTATTGTTTCTTTAGTTATTCCAGCAGTTGTCTAATCGAGAATGTTTAAAATACGAATGCTGTTACCTTCAAGTTTGTTATCAACTACAATTGGTTATTATAGAACGTTAATATTATTTTATTCCTTATATGTGTAGCATCCTGGATTGTTCGAAATATTCCTGGTTTTTCTATTATACTGTAATAGACTAATGCAAACACAGAAATCATTTTCGTACGAGTTTTTAAGCAGCCGTGTTAATAAGTAAGAGAACTCTATGAGCTGTTTATTTTGAAAGTGGCATAAGTCACTTTACCGTAATGAAAAGTGGTGATTTTTTAATGTTTATGCGAAATTATTTATCCTGAGAAAGATATCAGTATACTGAGATAACAAATACAAGTAAATCTTCTCGAAAGTTAGCATCCATATTTTTAAACGTGTTAAAACGCAAACCCTTAAATATATCGACTTAAAAACAAAGTGACTTATGCCACTTTCAAAATAAACGCCACATATATGCAACAGTTCATTCGATCACGTTCATGATTCTTTTGGAGTGCATTTGAGTAATGTCTGATAACAAAAAATTTCGGGAGAGCGTCAAGAAATATTTGAAGATCTCATTAAAAGGGAATATTACATATCCGAATAAGACGAGGCGACGGCATAAAAATTCTGTGAAGGGACAATCTTTTCACTAGTAATTGATATACATTTGGAGCACCTCAATGACACTTTCCGCGTTAGAAATATATGCCAGATCACAATGCGGTGACAATTTGTATTTTAATCAGCAGTTATGACTTATGGAAATCATTACGGTCACACATAAATACAATGCTTCGATATGCTTGATTACGAATTTCTATGTACGTTGATGTTTCCTGCTGTTTTGAATATGGTAATCGCCTCGCGTACTACTTGAACAAGACGATTTTCTGGGAAAGTTCAAAGTATTTGTTCGATAGTATAATCACTTTTCGTACTGTACTGATTTTTTGCGAGTCACGAAGTACATAAATATACCACGCAATATTATTCAAACGAAAGTGAAATGAAAGTAAATTGTCGCACAATGTCCGTAACGGAAATATTACGAGTATACTGTGGATTTTTATGAAATTTTTTATATAAACAGCTTGTTTTTCAAAAAGTGAGTTCATAGTTCAATTTCTTTTTCCGATTCGAAAATTCGTTGTAGCAAACGTACACTAACGATACTATTCAATTTTTATGTTAAAAATATACTCTGGTATTTCATAAATGACATAAGTGCACAAATATCTCTGGTCTGATGACGAATGCCTTTATTATTAGAACAACAAAATTGTTTCGTGTCAGACGTCGGGAAATTCTGCCAGAAATATCCGGGATGCAACGTTCGAGTGTGATACTATATATATGATTAATATGTAATAATATATTATATTAATATATAATATTAATAATAATTAATATATTAATATATTATATTAATATATAATATTAATAATAATTAATATATTAATATATTATATTAATAATAATTAATATATTAATATATTATATATATATATATATATGATTAAAATAGAACTCGAGATAAAAAAAATAACCGCTTGGGTTGAAAAATAAATAATGATTTATTGAGATATCGCTGTCAGTTTCGAATTGTTCCCCTTTATTTTAATTCGTCTTCTTCTTCGGAGTCTTATAACTGTTCTGGTAGAAGTTGTAAAAAAGTACGGAATTAACTAAGAGATTGGCGATTTGTATGTGCGATGGGTACTTGTTCACCTCACAGGACGGAAGGTATGCCACACAGGCGTGCAGTATCAGGAAGAAGAACTGCACCTATCGTGACAGAGATAAAAATCTTGAACAATATCGTCACACGTCCGATTTGGTAGATGCGTCGATGTTTACTTCTTCTTACCATTTGCATTATCGTGATCAGCGGTTTAATCGAATTCAGAATTTTCGGTGTTCTGTCGCCGAAGCTGCTGAAGAAATAATATGTGTACATGAACACGTGAACAGCGCAGTTCACGGCCATCGGGAACGCGCACAACTTCATCGGGTAGTATTTCGTGAACATCCACGCCAGCAGCAATGTCGTTATATGATGGTACAGGTGCAAGAAAGAAACCTGGTTGTACTTTTTCCTGAGCACGAACGTCACTGTCTCAGCTAGGTCGATGAGCTTTACCAGCATCGTCAGCCAGAACGTGTGCACAATCTGCAAAAGCCGACGAAATACGCGATTATATTTCTATGTTCAATGCTCCTTGTCACATTTGTTCTTGAAAAATCGTGTTGCCCTTGCAAGACGGTTTAGTTTTTAGTTTTCCAGTGATTTCGATGGTTTTAACTGAATAAATCAATAAAGAACAGTTTCGCATCGAACATTATTAAATTCGAATCTGTATATTGCATTTTCTATACTTCAATTTTCTCTTCAGAATCGTGGGCAAACAAATTTAAGATAGAGTTACAGTTCTGGAATAAAGTATAGCAGATCCTGCACACTGAAATACACATATTCGTTATTTAATACATTGGGCCCGGCGCCGATATTCCTGTAATACATACGAAACCAAATCATATTTTTGTTGAGATTGTTTCAATAAATTTTACTAAAACTACTACATTTATTTTTTAACTTCGAAACTGTCGGTCCCCAAGGCCCGACGCCGACCAAATGGAAAGTTCACTGTCGAAACGCAGGAACCGACGCCGGGTTGAACGTGTTAAAAGAGTGTGTCAGGACAACTTTGTTTCGTTGAATGCTAACAATATTGTGATGCATGTTTTCTTTTCTCTTAAAGTCATTTATTTCAAGTATCTAAGATCGTCGAAGACACGCACCGTGCAGTTGAAAGTTATTCCGCTGCATTTTCATGAATTTTAATTTCTATCAATATTGATCAATTGTATGAGCTATACGTATAGAGAACTGTATCTGTATGTCATTTATTGTGCGTTGACGGGTTAATTTGAAGCACTCTGTAAGATAAACAGAATCGTTTAACTCTTTGGATGTGTATGTAAAAAGATGTAAATTCGAAGAGTCCGTATTCTGTTTTGGCAGATGTTGGACTATGCTGTCGAATGTAATCGTTTTCAAGTACCTTTATGGGATTAGGGTCGAATGAATAGTCCGGTAAATAGCAGAATCTCGTTGGTTCGGAAAATAAACCAGCGCTAAACAACTGCATAATTATGTACGCGTTGATGAAAACTTGGAAGACGTTGTAGTATCTGATGAAAGTTTTCAAGCTATACGGCTCCCTGTTCTTCATGTACTTTGGTCCCAATTTTAGAACAATGACTAGATACGCCAACAGAGTCGAAGGAATGATTATGGGCGATGTTACCAACGGCAGATTCATGGTCCTCTGATCTGGAATTACGAACGATTAGAGTTACTACACACCAATCAAATAAGATCGTAGAACTACGAAACAGAAGATAAACGATCTTCGCGAACCGCGTTGGGAACTTTCCCTCATCGTTATTCAACTTCCTCGAACATTGTCTCTCTTTTCAGCCAACGTTCTCGGCAAATTAACTTTCTTGTGGAGACCCAACTCGTTATAAGCTGGTTAACTATCGCTGGCAAGTCTCGCTGAATTGACATTCTCAATACTACAACTTTTCTATTTGACTTTTGGTTGACAATTTCGCTTATTTATATTTACTTCAATTCTTTGATATTTTGGCAATTGTTTGTTCGATAACAAAATTGGATATTTGGTTCAAATATTATTATAATTAAAATTGTTTCTTCTTATTATTCCAATTATAACATCTTCCCCTTTGTGTTAAATTGTACCATTCTATTCTCTATAAAAATGTCAAACATATCACTTTTTTAATCATTTTCTTCGTATAAAACATTTGATTTTTCCATTAATGGACACATTTTTCATATGAAACGTAGACATAATTATAAAACATTTCTGCGATTTAAAAATTACTTTGCTAAAATTACTTTGCAAGGAGTATGACAGAATATGTTATCGGTTCACGATGTATTAAAAACGTTACATACTTTCAAATCGATCGGAGTAGAGATTGGTCTTTCACTCGCGAACATTTTCCTTTATGACAACAAAAATCATGTTAATGGCATCGCTGAAAATGTACATTCCTCGAGTAGATTTTTGTGGACTCTAGCTGACGAATCACAACAGGTCTCTAGACTTCACAATAACAGTAACGGTTTGATGCACTTGTTTATCGAGATGAAATCTCGACTAGAATTACTTACCAACATGCTCGTACCAATAGTAGCGGCAAAGCTCCATGATTTCCATTTCGTGCACTTTATTTCTTCGTCCGCAACAAATTCGCCAAACTCCAATATAACTTCACCAACGTCAGATACCGATTGTTCCTCAATTTATCGATATGCCAAAGTGGCCTGTCTTCAAAAGTTTCGTGGATGCGAGGCGACGTGAAGCGTCTAACTAAATGTCACCGGAAAACCTCTCCAAAGTATGCAAGTCGTAAAAACTTATTTTAAAAGTCGCGTACCTCCACTGTCTCATTACTATAGTAAAAGATATTGGTAATTATTGACATTAGGGTCGTCCTCGCCGATGTCGATGATCTTGAAACATGTTGTCTTTGTCAACATTCGGAACAAGTTTGTCCTGTACATGTTGCCGCCGCGCCGCTTTAGTTTCCGAGATAATGGCAAAAATATGTGTCAAATAAAATATACATATTTGCTTAACCCGTGAGAAACATTATGTTGGTTATGTAGTGGAATTTCTGTGTAGACGAATTTATTGTTTTTTTCAACATTATGACTGGAATATTTAAAATTTAAAATAATGATCATATAGTGTGAAGTTTAATATAAATGGTAATTAACATATTATTAAAGATGGTTTTATTTCTTAAAAACATTATTTCTCGCAACAAATTAAATCTTTCCGTTTAGGCCGCATCAAACACCGGTGGCTGACGGTGTAAAATATGATATAAAACTAAAAAATATACATTGTTCTCATAAATTTGTGCCATTAATGTACTTAAATATTACTTAGCAAAAATCTTTGATGGACTTTATTGAAACAGTTTGAACAAAACAACGGTTGTCCTTCTTTACAAAATGTGGCAACTTGCGTGACCTGATCGCGATTCGCTCATAAATCGGCGTGGCAGTTAACGTGATAAAATATGCAGAATTATATGTAAAATTTCAAAAAGGAAAGTTACTGTAGTGGTTGGTTGGGCGAAGGAACGTATCGAGAGTCTGGTCGATTATGCTTGCAATGCCCCGAATTTCGCATAGTAGCCGGCCCTCTCCGCCACCACACGTTCCTAACCCGAAACCAACACCAAAATGATGTACTCTTTTAACTCATAGGTGACCCCTAAAGGACGTAAACTCCACAAACAGTGTTAAAATTGTGTATTGTCGTAAGTAGGAAATATGCATATTTTATTTGAAATATATTTTTGCAATTATCTCGGAAACTAAAACCACGCCATGGCAACATGTATAGTAAAAAGCTGTTCAGAATATTTAATATTACGTTTAAAATAATCTTGACAACATATTTCAAGATTATTGAAATCGATGAGGTCTCCGCTGATGTAAGTAATTACCGTAAATAATTATCAAGATGTTAACCCGCATTGGAATTAATTTTCGGTTGAAATAATATGCTCTATGAATTTGATTTCCGTTAACGATCCATCTAATAAAAATACCCCATTAACTGCTGCCAACGTATTTTCGGCTCTTTGCGAGGCCTCAACGATTATTTAAATATTGTGATATAAAAGTAAATATATTCGTCGAACACGAAGATCAAAATCTTTGGATGATCTTGGAGCGATTCGCTGTTATGGCATCGTGAGATTGCTATCGGGTAGGCTAGATTGCTAGGCTGGATAGACGAATGAAAAAAGAGAAACGGAGAAAAATTATACTTGATGGTCAGAGTTCTCGTAAATCCTCATAATACAGTATTAGAATAATGTATTAGTTTCTTGCACGAAAAATATTTGATATTGTAATGACTTGGTTCCCAAGCGTTCCGAATAACATTACGACTGCGGATGTATTATGTATCGTTCGCAAAACTCACAATTTAGTGTTTGAGGTTCAATGTTCACCTTTTTTCATTTATATGCTGACCTAACATTCAGATTTGCTTTACTTCAGCATCGGTCGACATCATTGTGGAACGCTATTCTTTCACGAATGATACGATAAAAATAACAAAGCAGTGTTGTTCTTATAAAATATTTATAAAATACAAATCTTTGAACGTTGCAAACTTCTGTCTGTGTTGCAAAAAGTTGCTTCCGATGAAAAATGGATACGTTAATATTGAAAACGGTAGGGATCTTGTTCAAAAACTCCGAGAAGATGTGATTTCTGTTTTATTTCGTTTGTTCTGCTACATTTTCTGCTTCGTCCCGTTCAATCGCAATCGATGATCGATTCTGCATTCTTTGATAGACGTCAACTGTTCCGAATTGAATCTTGCGATTTGGTGGCCATACGATCGAAATCCCGTAATACAGCACTAAGTCCTATTGTTCTACGATTCTCTGCCACTCTAAACAAACGCTTGGATCCCCACCATTTTACTGCGCACCCCACCCACAGTCAATCCTGCCTCAAATGCGACTCGTCAGCCAGTCAGAGCGAAGCAATTTTTAATCCCACTCTCGCCAACTGATCGAACTGCTGCCCAAAGTCGTACGCGAGTAGGACCCACTATTGTACTAGTTGCGCGTAGGCGCATAATTAGTCGCATGGGCGCCCCCTACCTTAGGCGTGGAGGCACATCTCGCATTTGCATGGTCTTCTCGTCGTCCGCATTCGTTCGCGGTCGCAGATATCTTCGACGTTTTCTTCCCAATGTGTCCTATTTCGATTTTTGATCAGGCTTCTTGCAGGTGTCCTGGTACAAGTCGTAGAATAGCTCGAAATCGATTAGAAGATTGTGTATCTAAACGATGCCCGGTAGCCTCGATACTGAACAGGATGGCAGGTGTGAATGGTGTTTTGTGCCATGAGGAAGACATGGTAACAGATGCAGAAAGGCATGAATAAACTTAATGAGAGTACCTGATCCAAAGGATAAGCTCATGTGCTGTTCTCCGTTTAATATGGGAAAGTCCAGTTAGTCTAGATTTGATGGTTTAATATGTTTCTCTGATTCGAAGATGCATAACAGGTAACGTACACTAAAGATGCAATTAATATTGAGGTTCAAAAATATCTTCTAGTATTTCATAAATACCATAAATGCGTACAAATTTACACTACAAAAAAGAACAAAACAAAATCGTTTCCTGTCAAACTTCGAGAGTTTCTACCAGGTGTTTTCGGGATGCATTTTTTTTACGTGTGATGCTACATGATTCAAATAGAACTCAAAGTAAAAGAAATATCCGATCCAATCGAAAAATAAATTATGATTTATTGCGATATTACTTGTCAGGATCCAATGGTTCTAGTTTCATTTAATTCGCCTTCTTCTTCGGAGTCTTATAGGTCTTCCGATAGAAGTTGTAGAACAGTGCGAAGTTGATTGAGATATTAGTGATTTGTACGATCGATGGGATGCTACTGACATTACAGTCCTGCACGAATGGCACAAGGGCGTGTATTATCATGTAGACAAACTGCACCTATTGTAACACACATACAAGTCTTAAGAAAAATATCGAATCGATTGATTTAAAAGATATGTCGGTGTAATTTTCCCCTTACCATTTGCATTATCGTGATCAGCGGTTTAATCGTCTTCAGAATTTTCGGCGATTTGTCGCCGAAGCTGCTGAAGAAATAATAAGTGTACATGACCACGTGCACAGCGCAGTTCACCGCGAGCGGAACCGCGATCATATGCGTTGCCATATATTTCGTGAACATCCAGACCACCAGCACTGTCGATACATGGTGGTACAGGTGCAAGAAGGTAACCTGGTTGTTTTTTTTCCTGAGCACGAACGTCACTGTCTCAACTAGATCGACGATCTTTATCATCAGACCCAGCCAGCACGTGTACGATATCTGCAAACGCCGACTTCATAATTATATTTCTATGTTTAGTGCCCCTTATTGGGTTTGTTCTGAAACGATCATGTGCCGCCTGCAAGCCTTATTTCCTAATTTTCCACTGCAGATTCACAAGAGCTTTTACCACAAGAGAATTGAAAGACGACAATTTTCTCTTCATAATCGTGTGAAAACAGAGTACAGTAAATTCTTTTTTTTTTTAATTCGTGGTGGTACTAATCGATAAATTTATAAACTATGTAGAGATCTATATCTAGATGAAAATTATTCTGCGTTCAGAAGTTAATGCCATGCATTCGGTAACAGCAACAGGATCGCTTTAGCTATGTATGACGACTATCCTGATTTCTTTTTATTAAATTCCAAGAGTATGTATTCTCTTTTGGCAAAAGTAGTATGTGCGATCGAAAGCAATCGTTCTCAAGTACCTTTAGGGAATCAGGGTCGAAGGAATAATCCTCATCAAAGCAGAAGTTCTTCAGATTGGAAAATAAACCAGCGCTAAACAACTGCATAATTATGTACGCGTTGATGAAAACTTGGAAGACGTTGTAGTATCTGATGAAAGTTTTCAAGCTATACGGCTCCCTGTTCTTCATGTAATCCGGTGCCAAGTGTAGAACAATGACTAGATACGCTAACAGAGTCGAAGGAATGATTATGGGCGATACCATAAAGGGTAGGTCCTTGGTCCTCTGGTCTGGAATTACGAACGATTCAAGCTACTATACACCAACCAAATAAGATGGTAGAACTAGAAAAACGAATATAAACGGCCTTCGCAAATTTTCCTCATCGTTAATCAACATCCTCGAGCATTGTCTCTCTTTTCAGCCAACGTTTGCACTGAAAATTAACTTTGTTGTGGAAGACAAAATCGTTACAAGCTGGTTAACTATCGCTGGCAAGTCTCGTTGGATTGACATTCTCAATACTACAACTTTTCTATTCGACTTTCGGTTGACACAATTTCGCTTATTTATATTTACTTTAATTCTTTGATACTTTGGCAATTGTTTGTTTGATAACAAAATTGGATATTTGGTTCGAATATTATTATAATCAAAATTGTTCCTTCTTATTATTCCAATTATAACATCTTCCCCTTTGCGTTAAATTGTACCATTCTATTCTCTATAAAAATGTCAAACATATTACTTTTTTCATCATTTTCTTCGTATAAAACATTTGATTTTTCCATTAATGGACACATTTTTCATATGAAATGTAGACATAATTATAAAACATTTCTGCGATTTAAAAATTACTTTGCTAAAATTACTTTGCAAGGAGTATGACAGAATATGTCTTCGGTTCACGATGTATTAAAAACGTTACATACTTTCAAATCGATCGGAGTAGAGATTGATCTTTCACTCGTGAACATTTTCCTTTATGACAACAAAAATCATGTTAATGGCATCGCTGAAAATGTACATTCCTCGAGTAGTTTTTTGTGGACTCTAGCTGACGAATCACAACAGGTCTCTAGACTTCACAATAACAGTAACGGTTTGATGCACTTGTTCATCGAGATGAAATCTCGACTAGAATTACTTACCAACTTGCTCGTGCCAATAGTAGCGGTAAAGCTCCGTGATTTCCATTTCGATTACTTTGTTTCTTCGCTCACTGCAAATTCACCAAACTGAAATTTCACTTCACCAACGTCTGATATCAATTGTTTCCCAATTTAACGATTTGAAAATATGGACTGCTTCAGAAGGTTCGCGGACGCGCGCCAACACGAAGTGCCGAACTGGATGCCACGGGGAACGCTATTTAAAGTGTAGAGATCGTAAAAAGTTATTAAAGGTCGCACATTTACTGCCATTGCTGTAGTAAAAACTATTTGAATCTGCATCGGAATTAATTTTCAGCTCAAGTAATATGCTGTATGAATCTGATTTCCATTTGCAATCTGTCGAATACCAATACCTTATTAACTAGTGCCAACAAATGAAACATTTCAAAAACAAGATTGTTCCGTCCTTCAACGAAACTTTCGTGCCGCATCCGTCTAACTTTCTCCGGGACGAATGACCTTTTCTTTTTATCCCTAAAAAACCTTTATTAACGAGAAATCTTCGGCTCAGCGAGACAAATTGACAGTCCTTCAACGAATGACGTGCAGTCAACAGAGGGTCACGTTCGTTGGGCTTTCAATTTCGTAGAGCCATCGTCTTCTTCCTTATGACAGGGTCGCTAGCACGTACCGCTTCGGTCGCCCGTCCGGGGTTTCTTGCTAGCTGCGGCACTGCGTGCTACGTCACTCTACATCCCCTTTCATCGCGTCACTGACCAACGAATTTCGAGCTTTCTATCCACGAAACTGTATGAAAACTCGAAACCGATTCTTCTCAAGATCAGTTGTCACCAGTCAGTTCACCGTCAATTAGTCTTTAGTCATTCGTCCATCATCGATCAGTCAGTGGCAGTTCAACTCAATTCATTTTAAACCAAATACAATTGGTCACCTAAGAGTTAAAACCATTCTACAACAACCTATCATCCGTATCACTCGAAAGAGTCATACGGAATCACGCAGACTCGGTGTCATATAAATTTGAGTCGGGGACCTATGACCTCCGTAGATCAAACAGTTTCACAGTTTGATCTCACCGAGAAAACGTGAAAAAACAAAGATCACATTTTGCATTTCATTGCATATTCTCGGCACTTTGCATTGATCCAGGATAATTTCGGAGTGAGTGTTATGATATTGTGTGATTGTTACCGAGCAATGAGAAGATCGAGGCTGGATAATTGAATTAAAAATGAGAAACAGAGGAAAATCATCTCTGATGATCATTGTTCACCTACATGGTCGCAATATAGTGTTGGAATAATGCATCAGGTTCTAGCATATAATGGCCAAGTTCACCAGTGTGAATTATGTAACGTTTGCAAAACCCTCAATCCAGTCTTTGAGGTCCAATGTTCATTTTTGTTTAATTTTTATAATGCCCCAACATTGAGATTTGATTCACTTCAGCTGTTCCGTCCTTCAACGAAATTTTCGTGCTGCATCCGACCAACTTTCTCCGGGACGAATGACCTTTTCTTTTATTCTTAAAAAATATTTATTAACGGGAAATCTTCGGCTCAGCGAGACAAATTGATAGTCCTTCAACGAATGACGTGCAATCAACAGAGGGTCACGTTCGTTGGACTTTCAATTGCGTAAGGCCATAGTCTTCTTCCTTGCCATTTCTAAATTTATCACTTTCGAGCCATATTCTTTCCGGCAATGAAGCCATTTCTGCCTTTTTGAACAATGCACACCTTCATCGGCAGCATTTTTGATGACAGGGTCTCTAGCACGCACCGCTTCGGTCGCCCGACCAGGGTTTCTTGCTACCTGCGGCACTGCGTGCTACGTGACTCTACATCCCCTTCCATTGCGTCACTGACCAACGAATTTCGAGTCTTCTATCCACGAAACTGTATAAAAACTCGAAACCAATTCTTCTCAAGATCAGTTGTCACTCGTCAGTTCATCATCAATTAGTCTTTAGTCATTCGTCCGTCATCGATCAGTCACTGTCAGTTCAACTCAATTCATTTTAAACCAAATACTATTAGTCACCTACGTGTTAAAACCATACCACATCAACACATTATCCGTATCACTCGAGAGAGTCATACGGAATCACGCAGACTCGGTCGTTGTCGCGTCCTATCCTTTCACGAATGATACGATAAAAATAATGAAGCTGTGTTTTTATAAAATATTTATAAAATACAAATCTTTGAATGTTGTAAACCTTTGTCTGTTGCAAAGAATTGTTTTTGATGAAATGTGAATACTTTAACCCTTCCACAGTGGAAGCATTAACCCCTTCACTTCCCGACAAGACGTGTGTAACTTCTTTTATCGTTTTAAATGATTCTGTTCGTAATAATAAGTGCAGAGAAGAAACTTTTAAACACGTTTTACAAATATTATTGAGGAAAAGGAACATCCAATTACACATAATTACGTTTTATGCCATATATGTTGTAACATGAAGCACGAAAACATACGTCGCTGTCCTGGCAAAAGTATCTCCTTTTCATTCTAATTCTCTTCCCACTAATTCGACGTGAACAGCATGCCGCGCATAATCTAGACGGTTTTTCTTTGTTAGCAGTTGCTGAAATATATTTGATAAAACCGTCTTTCTGTCAAACGAAACGGTTATGGAGATGCAGAAGTCAGGCCAGCCATAAGCATTCCATACTGCTTGGTCTGAAAGATGTACGGAAATTTTATAACAATATTTCTTCCCTCTGCTACGCGTTACATCATAGCATTTGACATATCGATTCAATTTATCAACACCTTCCATTGTAAAATTGGTCGCGTATGGTCTTCGGAGTATTCTTGATTATATTATTTTTTTGTCTATTCGAATGAACACTGAATTGTGAACAGCGGACGCGAGTCACCAATGAGCCCAAGAAAATCTCGGGATCCTTGTTTTGTTACTTGACGCTTCGCCCTTATTCACTGCGAAAACGTTAACATTGAAAAGGTAGGAATCTTGTTCAAAAGGTCAGGAAAAATGAGAGTTCTGTTTTATTTCGATTCTTCAGTTACATTTTGTGTGCCGTACAAGTCTTTAGTTACAGGTTATTCCGTCCAATTGGGGACCTGCGATGGATATTTTATTATTTAAAAGGTAACATCGAAAACAAATAACAGAAGTACATTAGCGAACGCTGTCTTCTAATTCTGTAACCAACACCGTATTATTACTTCGATTTCTTGTGTGAATCCATACAATGCGAGCATCTACGTTTACTTACCAAGATTTCCTGAGATCGAAATTTTAGTTTAAATGTTCCTATTTATTCAAATAACTATACCTCTCAAGTCAAATTATATACACAGATGAGAAACCATAAATTAGAATGTCAGCAGAAAGTAACGCATGTACCGGTATCGCAGTAATTACGAGTCGTTTAGAGTTGTTACATTTGATCGTAGTGCGATTAGCGTCGCGTGCAATATCGCGAATCACAGTTGGCGCCTCATCATTTCCAGCTAGTCGACAATTACAAATGCAATTTCTATCGAAGCATATTCCTCCTAATGTGTCCTACATCGACTTTTGATTAGTTTTCTTGTAAGTTTTCTGGTAGAAGTTGTAGAACAGCATGAAGTTGATCACAAGATTAATTATCGAAACGATGCCCGGTAACCTCGCTACTGGGCAGGATGGCACGAATGACACGATGTTTTGACTTATGAGAAGTATGAACTGTGCCTGTTATAAAAGAAATAGATAGGCGTTAATAAATCCGATAAGTGTCTGATTCAAAGATTCTAATTTTGCATAAACTCGTGTGCCTTCATCAATTGAATTCGAATAAGTCGAATTGGGCTGAATGTACCATCTCTAAGAAAATATTATAATATTTTCCTCCAAAATTGGAAAAGTTGATTTGACTTGGACACGATCGATACTTTTGGTTATTGTTGATACAAAATTCTATACTTTAGATAATGTATCGTTTTTTCTAAAGGACAATGTAACAAAACGCAATAATTCTTTCAAAACTACACTAAATGATTTGAATTTTTTTTAGATGAGAGAGATGAATGAGTTAGTCTATTAGATGATGGTAAAATGTTTTCTTTTAATTTTGCTATTACTTCGAATGAAAAGAAAAAATTAGAAATCCTCATTTCTTGACTTTTTTACTTGAGCCTATAACGAAAATTAAAAAAGCGCCTCTTGTGGATCCCGGTAATTTTATTATTACGTTGAAATCCTTGAACATCTGTAGATAGTACTTAACCGATTTCGATCAAATTTTCAACATATATTCATATCGGTTACCAAGTTCTACGAAAGATATATTTTAAATTTTCGTTACACGCTCAGATAAAAAAGTTAAAAAAACCAGGGCGTTTTTTGTCATTCCAGGTAATAGTAAAACTAAAAGAGAAATCCGTTTTGGTCATCGTGTTGTAGACTAATTTCTCTATCATCTAAAAACAATTCAAGTCAGTTAGTACAGTTTTAAAGTAGTTATTGTGTTTTAGAAGCTTTACGAACACTTTTATGAGCCAGCGTATGGAAGGCTTTTTGTCGGTGTACTATCAGCGAAAGATATTAAGAAACGTTGATCGACGATTTCTGTTTACCATTTGCATTATCGTGATTAGTGGCTTTATCTTCTTCAGAATTTTCGGCGCTTTGTCTCCCATTGTGCTTAGGTAGTAATAGGTGTACATGATCACGTGAATAAAGCAGTTCACTATGATCACGAAAGAGGCCATTACCACTGGAACGTATCTCCCGAAAGTCCAAGCAATTATCACCGTCGATATGTGGTGGTATATGTGTAGAATGGAAATCTGCCTGTCCTTTTTTCTCAGCACGAATACGCCTGTTTCGATCAAGTCGACAAGCTTCAGAAGTAGCGTCCACCAGAACGTGTAGGCAATCTGCAACACACGATAGGGTTATATTAAAACTAAATAAAACTTTATGTAACCAATGTTGTGTAGAGTTTTCTTTACCGTATATGCGTGTGTACCACAGATACAGTATTCTAGACTTCACAATTTTTGTTGTTTTTCATAGCCTAATCCGCATGTTTTTATTTAGATTTCAGATTCGAATTTATATCAGTAGTGAGGAATGTGAATCTGAGGTACTATTCGCTTGCTCATTTGAGACAAATGTATAATGCTGCGATACATGCACGAGAAATTACGTTTTTTATCCTAATAATTAAGAATTACGAACACGTACAAACAGTTCGTGTAGATTGCTGCTGATCGATGGAATTAAATTTTACAGTGCATTTGCTCGTGATTTTGTTCGGCGAAAATTATGTACGACGTGGTTTACATGAAACAACTTATAAATTAGATTTTTCGAAGCTTGCATCATCAGTGACACAGACGAATTGGTTGGACAATCCGGCAGAGCGATGCATAAACCAAACGTG